GAGGAGGAGGAGGAGGAGCTGTAGGAGGAGTCTGCCGGCCCCTCTGGCCGGGACCCCCCCACCTTTCCAAGTGGGCCAGACCGTGCTCCCACGGGAGGGAACTGGTAAGGGGCAGCGCGTCTCACACGCCATGGGAGCCCAAAGGGGTCGGCGAGTTCGAACAAAAATCGGCAACGCAGCTTTTTGGGGCTTTGGCAGGCGCGTCGACTTTGTCACCGTTCTCGCCGCACTTTGCCTTGTGACTGCGTCAGCTCGGGGAGCGTCTGGAGCACTTTCGGCAAACAAGGCGCATTCTAGTTCCAGTAGATGTGTTCGTAGCGCATGCTCGTTAGTGCGCCTCCGCCCCCCCTGTGAGACCGTGGTGCCCAGCCGAGCACGCGAGCACATACAGATAGACAGCAGTAAGCACCTTCATGACATGTTCTTGCCCACCAAGCCCAGCGGCCCCTTCCCGCCTCCTCCCTAAATAGCTCAGTTTTGCATTAGCGGGCATGCGCAGTAATGAGCATCAGCAGGTCTGCCGACACTGTGTACAGCAGCAAGTCCATCGCGACAGCGTACGAGCAGCACATCGCGACAGCACACGAGCAGTACGACCAGACCGCTCCCCCTTCGTCGGAGTACGACCAGACCGCCGCTTCTTCGTCGGCCTCCAGGGGTGGCGGGTAGTGAGACGTTTCGGCTTGCGCGCACGAGGGTGCCACGTGTTCGCCAGCCATCCCGCACACGTGCACGGCGGCATCCAGCCAGGCGGCGGACCTGAGTTGGTCGACTCGGAGGCAGGAGGGAGCTGTGCATCTTCCTGAGGGGGAGGCAGAGGGAGGAAGGGAGAACGTCGCCACCCGTAGGCAGGAAGTCCGCTGGTGTGCGGCCAGGGCCAGTTTTCAGGAGGGAAAGAAACACACAGACACAATTAATCGACGATCCCCAGGAAAATATGGGAAAATATGGGAAGTGGTGGGGAAGACAAAAACTCAGAAAATATGAGAAAATATGGGGAATCTTTTTATTTGTGTGTATTTATTTGTGTGTTTGTGGGCCCCTTCAGTTTTGCTCTGCAGAGGGCGGTGGTGGGCAAAGCGCCGGGCAGCGGCACGCCGTGCGCCTCTCGGAATATCCGCTGCGGATGCTCGCCGGCGATGCCTGCGCAGTCGGGCCGCCGCTTTGGCGGCTGCCCACGAGCTCCAGGACAGTACACAGGCCTTCCCCTCGGGCCTCACCCTCCTCCTGCCTCCGCCCTCCTCCCGAGGTCCAGCTGTTTTCCACACGGCGTCCCCAGAAGTCCCGACCTCTCGATGCTCGTTTCGGGGACCTTCCTGGAGCCCACCTAACGGATCTGTTCGACCCCAGTTCGACTCAAGTTCGACTCAGGTTCGACTCAGGTTCGACTCAGGTTCGACTCAGGGTCGACCCAATTCGACTGACGTTCGACGCAGCTTCGACGCACGAATGGAGCGAGTGGCTCCAGGAAGGTCCCCAGAACGAGCATCCAACGACCTTCTCCCCCAGGCCGGTTTCGCATCTCGGGCCGTTTCTCGACGGCCCCGCAGGGCCCGGCGAGAGGGCCTCCGGAGGCCGACGGCGGCCCAAGCCCTTCACCGCGTCATGCTCTTGCACGGCGTGCGCATGCCTGGGGCGCAGGGCGAGGAGCGAGCGGAGGAGAAGGCCCCCCCCCGTTATAAGTGGTGCCTAGACGCGAGAGTGACCCTTCGCCGGAGGGACCTTTGGTGCGGGCTCATCGGGCTCCCCCCGACCGCCGAGCACGATGCGATACAAGCGGCCCACAAGCCTTGGGCTTGGCGCCCCCTCGCGCCCCCCAAAGCTGCGCACCAGAGGCCACTCTCACCCACGGTCACTCTTACGCCTAGCCGAAAGTGGAGGAGGAGGAGGAGGAGGAGGAGGAGGAGGGGGAGGAGGAGGAGGAGGGGGAGGAGGAGGAGGGGGAGGAGGGGGAGGAGGGGGAGGAGGCCCCCCGTTCAGTGGTGATGGGGAGGCCGCCGCCGAAGACGAGGGCCACTTCCGGCCGGCGAGAGCGACCGCCTGAGCGCCATGGGGCCGCGGCCCGGCCCGCAGCGTGACGGTGGCCTGCCGCGCCGGCGAGCAGCGGGCCGTGCGGAGGAAGTGGCCGCCCCGGAGCATCGGAGGCGACGGTGGGGGGGCAATAGCCCAAGGGCGGGCATTACAGTCGGGGCCCTGAAGAAGGAACCCTTTTCGTTGGGGAGGGGCTCCGCGTTCCTTAAGTGTTTCGCAGCTTGCCTCAGGGTTCCCTTATGTTTTCGATCGGGAATCGAAGTTTAATTCTTTACGCTTCGCGTATCCCCACCAGCCCATCTCACAACAGCAACTCATGCGAAGCATGCCGACAGTCGTGTTTTTCAGGCGTGTTTCCGTTTGGCCCAGCATATCTCCCCTGTCCCTCCTTCCTCCCGCCTCCTTGTACATCCTCCTTGTGGGGGGAGCGGGAGAAGGACGAGGCGGAGGAGGAGGGAGAGAAAGCGCTCCTCGTGATTTGAGTCGTTTGGGGTTTCTCGTCCTGGTGTGAGTCGTTCGGGCCCTTCTTCCTGGTGTGAGTCGTTCGGGCTCTTCGTGGTGTGAGTCGTTCGGGCTCTTCGTCCTGGTGTGAGTCGTTCGGGCTTCTCGTGGTGTGAGTTGTTCGGGCCCCTCATCCTGGTGTGAGTCGTTCGGGCCCCTCCTCCTGGTGTGACTCGTTCGGGCTCCTCGTGGTGTGAGTCGTTCGGGGCCCGCGTCGTGGTGTGAGTCGTTCGGGCTCCTCGTGGTGTGAGTCGTTCGGGCGCCTCGTCCTGGTGTGAGTCGTTCGGGCCCCTCCTTGTGGTGTGAGTCGTTCGGGCTCTTCGTGGTGTGAGTCGTTCGGGCCCCTCGTCCTGGTGTGAGTCGTTCGGGCTCCTCGTGGGGCCTCTTGGGGGCCTCTTGGAGCCTCTTGGGGCCTCTTGGGGGCCTCTTGGGGGCCTCTTGGGGGCCTCTTGGGGGCCTCTTGGGGGCCTCCTGGGGCCTCTGGGGGCCTCTTGGGGGCCTCTTGGGGGCCTCTTGGGGGCCTCTTGGAGCCTCTTGGGGGCCTCTTGGGGGCCTCTTGGAGGCCTCTTGGGAGGCTCCTGGGGGCCTCTTGGGGCCTCTTGGGGGCTTCTTGCGACCTCCTGAGAAGCGCAAATGAGCGCTACCCCCTCAGAAGGACAAAATGAGCCCAAAACCTTCGTAAAATCAATGATTTTGCTAACAAGGAGCAGCAGCGCTGGCCCCTCAGACGGCCAAAAAGGGGCCAAAACCGTAGTAAAATCAAGGATTTTGGCTTCAGAGAAGAGGAGAGCATTTTTTCTACACCCCCCCGTCGGGGCCAGAATCCTCGTGAGGGTCGTCGTTTTTTAGCCCTCCCAGGAGTCGAAAAAGACCCCCCCAACCACCCGCGGGAATCCCTGTCCAGGTCCAGGGGGAGGGGGTAGGGGGAGGGGTAAACCCCTCCCCGAAGGGGAAGAAGGGGGGTTGAGGACAGAGGGGGCTCTCTAAACCACTCACGCCCTAAAGGGCTGGTGGGACTTATGGAAAAAAGGGGCCTCGTTCCTTATCTTGGGTTCCTTAGGTCAACGCCCCGACTGTAGCCCAAGGGCGGGCATTACTCGTATTCGCCCGGGAGCCTCGCCAAAGGGATGGACCATCGGCGCCCCTGGGTACATGTATTGCCCTCCCCTGGGCTATGCGCCCCCAGCGTCGCCCCCGGAAGCAGTCTTTCCCTGAGATCCGGTCGTGGAGCCGTGTTTTCACCTGAAGATCCTCGCGTTGCAATTTGTTCGCTCGGGGCGGTTTGTCCTTGTTTCGGGCCTCGGGACCATCACAGATCGATGCGGGCCTCTGGATGCCGCAGAGGGGGCCCCAGCGCCGATCCGAGAAATCCGCGCGGACCTCCGAGTTTTTATGTTTATGCCACTTATTGTTCCCCTAACACATGCACACACACACACACGCACGCACGCACGCACGCACGCACGCACGCACGCACGCACGCACGCACACACACACACACACACACACACACACACACACACACACACACGCACACGCACACGCACACGCACACGCACACGCAACGGCACACGCACACGCACACGCACACGCACACGCACACGACACACCACACACGCACACGCCCACGCACACACACGCACACGCTGCCGCAACACCACACCACACACACACACACACACACACCACACACACGCACACACACACACACACCACACACACACACACACACACACACACACACACACACACACACACCACACACACACACACACACACACACACACACACACACACACACACACACACACACACACACACACACACACACACACACACACACACACACACACTTGTAGACACGCAGAAGGGCGTGCACGCGGACGAACGCCATGCCGGCGGGTCACTGGCCTTTTCGTTCGCCAGTGCCTCGACGCGCAGCCTCTGGCGGTGCATATCGCGCTCCACCGCGCAACCACCCTGCTGCTGCTCGCCCGCCGAGCCGCGCAGCGTCGCGGGCGTGCTCGGACGCCGCCGAGCGGGAGACGCCTCTCAGGAGGGAACAAAACACACACACAGACACAATTCAAAGTCGATTCCCCCGAAGATATGGGAAAAGATGGGAAGTGGGGGGGGGGAAGACAAAAACACCCAGAGAATGCAGGAAAGTATGGGGCATCCTGTTATTGGTGTGTATTTCTTTATGTGCTCCAGGGCCCCTTCGGCCTCCCAACCCAAGGGAGGCGGAGCCGGGGCTGAGCGCCCGGCAGAGATGCAGCAGCCGTCGCCCGTCCAGGACCTGAGGACGTGCGCTGGCCCGGCGGCCGGGCGGAAGGAAGGCCGGCGGACCGGCGGGAGGCCGGGAGACGGCCTCGGCATGAGACGGTCACAGTGCATGGGTGGCCCCCACACACAGACACACACACACAGACACATACAGACACACACAGGCATACGCACAGACAGGCACAGACACACAGACACACACAGACACACACAGACACACACACACAGACCGACAGACCGACAGACAGACAGACCGACAGACAGACAAACAGACAAACAGACAAACAAACAAGCACACACAGACAAACACACAAACAAACAAATTATTCACTGCGTGGAGCTCCCCATATGTGCATCTACTCGCATGGACCTGTCCGCCGTGAATGTCTAGGCGCAAGAGCTTTCGTAGATTAACGGGCTTCAGTTGTGACGGTCTGGACATCAATCTAACTGCGAATGAATTGGAGTGTGAAGGAGCCTCAGTAGTACGAGCGCGTCTCTGTGCATGAGCCTGGGGCCTCCTGGGGCCTCCTGAAACCTACTGGGGCTTCCTAGGGTCTCCAGGAGCCTCTTGGGACCTCCTGGGACCTCCTAGGGAGGTTTCGTGCCCCAGGAGAGGCGCAATCTATAGCAACCGACGTACATAAAACATTGCGGATTAGAGCCACAGGAGAAGGGCAATCTATAGGAACACGCGTAAAACACCAAGGACTCGTGCCCCAGGAGAGGCCCAATACATAGGAACATGAGTAAAACATTTAGGATTGTGTACACAGGAGAAGGACCATCTATAGAAACATACGTAGAACATCAAAGAATCGTGCTCCAGGTGAGGCCCAATCGATAGGAGCATACGTAAAACACATGGGATTGGAGCCACTCCTGTTGCCTTCTGAGGCCTCCTGCTCCTGGGGCCTCTCGGGGCCTCCTGTTGCCTTCCGAGGCCTCCTGGCGCTTCCTGTTGCCTCCTGGGGCCTCCTGTGGTTTCCTGAGGCCTTCTGGAGCTTCCTGGGGCCTCCTGGAGCCTCTTGGGACATCCTGTGGCCTCTTGAGTCTTTCTGTGGCCTCCTGATGCCTCCTGGGACCTCATGTGGTCTCCTGGGGCCTCCTGGAGCCTGTTGGAGCCTCCTGTGGCATCCTGAGAAGAATCTGCGCCCACGAGCCTGGCCACCAAAACAAGCAAACCGATCGAGACATCCTCAAAATCTGGCCCACCTGGGGGGTGAAAATGAGCGCCTCGCTCGAGACATCCTCCAAATCTGCTCCGAAAGCGAAGGATGTTGGGCCCAGAAACAAGCAAACCGCCTGAGACATCCCCACAAAATGGCCGCGAACGAGCCCGTGCAACCACCCCTGGCGGCTCCCCTTAGGGGTGCTGAAACCAGCGCCCCGCCTGAGACATCCTCACAATCTGCTCTCCAAGCGAAGGATGTTGAGCCCAGAAACAAGCAAACCGCTGAGACATCCCCAC